CCCAGGATACCACTGCCCTTCTTGGCCACAAGCGCACATTGCTGCCTCATGCTTAACTTGTTGCCCACCAGCACTCCCAGGTCCTTCTCTGCAGAGCTGCTTTCCAGCAGGTCAGCCCCCAGCCTGTCCTGCTGCATGCTGTTCTTCCTCCCTAGGTGCAGGACCCTGCACTTCCCTTTATTAAACTTCAGGAGGTTCCTCTCCACCCCACTCTCCAGCCTGTCCAGCTCCCTCTCAATGGCAGCACAGCCTTCTGGTGTGTCAGCCACTCCCCCCAGTTTTGTATCATCAGCAAACTTGTTGAGGGTGCGCTCTGTCCCTTCCCCCAGGTCATAGATGAATACATTGAACAAGACTGGACCCAGCACTGACCCCTGGGGGACACCGCTAGCTACAGGCCTCCCACTAGACTCTGCACCACTGACCACAACCCTCTGAGCTCTGCCATCCAGCCAGTTCTCAATCCACCTCACTGTCCACTCGTCTAGCCCCCACTTCCTGAGTTTCCCTATGAGGATGTGATGGGAGACAGTGTCAAAAGCCTTGCTGAAGTCCAGGTAGACAGCATCCACTGCTCTCCCCTCATCTACCCAGCCAGTCATTCCATCATAGAAGGCTGTCAGATGGTCAAGCATGATGTCCCAGGCCCCAGAGCAGCCTGGAGGAGGCCAGTGCCCACCGCCCCCTGCCCCCTCTCCCCCTCAGGTGGCACATAAGGCAGCACCCGACCCCCACACGTGGGGATGGATATCGAGACACAAATCCCAGAAACACTGAAGCCGGGCACATTATCTCCATATGCACAGACACACACAACCCCCAGCTCTGCAGTGTACCTGGTGGGGGGAGGAGGGCTTTTGCAGAGTAGGTGCAAGGGAAGCAATCCCCAAACCTCCTACTCACCTGACTCCCAAAACTGAAAGCATTAAGATAATCATGGCTCCTTCAACAACACTGCCTTAGACTCTTTCTAGCTCTTTTTTTCTTTTTTGCAGGGCTACTTGGAAGGGCGGTATTTTTTTTTGCAGCTGGGCATCCTTTCTGCTGCTTCCCACTGCACAGGGAGCAAAAACATAGTCTTAGACCTGCACGTGGACTTCAATTAGAAAGTCTCAAAATCTTCTGCTCAATAAAATAGAGACTTTAAGACAAAACCCTCTATAACCCCCATGCAGAGGTAAGACAGCTCTCCTGGGACAAGACAGGCAACTTTATCAGTCAGAAAGGTTACGCTAGCTGCTACCGTGCAGGGAGCCAAAGCTTTAGGGAAGTTCTTCACAACCACTCCCTTGCCCTTGGAGGACTCCTGCCCAAACACTTGTTCTAAGTCTCACAGCCTCACCCAAGAGCTCCTCAGCCAGGGAAGCTGCTCACTCCCCCCTCCCACCCACCCCAGAGGCCTTCCCTGCTCCCACTTGAACAGTCCCTTCTCTCAGCCCACAGCACACACAACAACCTGCCAAGGCAAAGGACACAGCTGAGGGGTTGAGCCACATCACTTGACTGAATCCGGACAACGTGGCAGAGCTGAGCGATGAGCAGGCAGCAGCTGCCTCCTTCACCTAACAACATAACCTGGATCTGCTTCAGGCAGCACAGGCAGAGCCTCCGGCCCTCGTCCAGAATTTGGCTCTTCCTGCCGTTTCGTTCTTAAGGACACGGTTTTCCCTGCGCGTTGGATTAATGGCCAAATCCTACTGCTAGCAAAGAAAACAAATCTCATTCACTCGGAGAAGACCCAGGTGCAGCCACGGGACCTCAATCCAGCAGAGCACGTTCTCCTAGCTTGATTTGAACTCACTATGAGAAAGAAGCCAAGGTCTTAAGAGGTACATTCGACTAAGATCCTCACAGCTGCTCTCCCGCCTTAACAAGCAGCTGATTTAACACCTCAACAACCCACTGATTTTAGTTAGGCTTGTATGTGTCAGCACCTCCAAAGCTGCAGGCCTTCGTACCTCTGCCCCCTTCCAGTTGAGATGATCATACCCTGCTCCCCTCTTGTTACCTCTTCACTTCTCCTAGCTGCTCTCTCAGCAGGCCATATGCGCTTGCTGGGAAACACTGTCTCCACAAGGACATACCCGCTTCCTTCGTTTTCAAGCATCTTCTTTGCAGGCCCTAACACTGCTGGTCACTGTCACAATCTGGGGTCACAATTTATTGGGAATTAAAATTCCAAAATGCAAAGTCAGCCTAACAAACCTGAAAGACCACTACAGTAAGCATCCTAGTTGGCTGCAAAACCTCACACCCAAAGGAAAAAAAGAAGAAAAAAAAAACTTCCTTTACACATGTTTCTGGTATTTCTTGTTTAAAAGAAAAATAATAATGTGCATTTATCAAGGACACAGTTTGTTGCTTGATTTACCAGGCTAGGTGTCACCCAGCAACACAGGCACTACTTCTCTCCCCAAGGCCCTGACACCATCTGGCACCCCCCCCCGCCATCCCCTTCAAGAGAGGGAAATAGCTGAAAGCAGCTCCGCCTTGAAGCAACAAGGGGAAAGTCTCCCACTAACAGCAGCAAACAGCAAAACAAAATGCAAAACTTTTGCCCAAAACCCTCTGGAAAAGGGGGAAACACCTCTCGTACAAAAAAATCCTCAGGGAAAACCACACACACACATTGGGAGCGCAACATGAACAGGCTGCGGAGCATGCCACACAAACATCTGAAAACCAAATGAGAAGGCGGCCACACGGCATTTCTCAACTGGGCTCTCCAGCAAGTCTCATCTTCTGTCTTCACACACTCTACCCAGCTCCTTGCCACAGGATCGCTAACACTTCAAAACCTCTCCCCAAAAACACACCCTCAGAAGAATACAGACAAACAAGGTGAGGGGTCTTCTCCTCTTCCTCATAGGAAATCCCCTCTCACTGCCCATGCAGCAGCGCTCTCCAAGCTTTCACATCTCTCTGATGGTCCCACCTTGCTTTTGTAGCACTCCAGTACAAAATCTGATCGATTCTGACAGTTCCTACACCAAGGGCTCCTACACCTGCAATCAAAGCATGACTCTCCTGATACTAACAAATCACCAGCATAACACTATTAGCTTGAGGATCCAGGGCATACAAGAGAGATTAGGGGCACACTGGCACTTCTCTGGCCTTCAGGCTGCCTTGAGAAAGCAAATCGTAGTTCATGCACAATCTGTCATTTTGTGTTTTCCATTGACTTCACTGAACCAGCCCCCAGGAAACTGTGTACACTCAGAGCTGATTTATGGAGAATGAATCCAAAAACAAGGGTAGTAGATTAACACTGAGTTATATAATTGTGATGTGTTTCAGCTGAATCGCATGACATCAGGTTGTGGACAGCTAACAGCGCTGTTACAAAACAGCAGGGAGATTAAAGGGAAAAAATAATTACCTTGTCTGCCTTAAGTGAAATGGAGCAAAAAGAAGGTGGCATCTGCTCTGGGAGAGGCACCTAGAGAAAAAAGCACCATTATACTCCCAACTAACACTTGCGCCTGAATAAATTCTCAGATGTGAACAAGCAGCAAAGCCTCCCAGTCTGCCTTAACACCATGGAGTACTTACCAGATCCTGCAGGAAATCTGCTTTTTCCACTGTGCTGTGACCATTTCAAACAGCATGTTCTGGTCTCTACAAAAGCTTCAAAGCCAAATTCTGATGCAAAACTACACCATTTATTTTTACACTCGTAATATTTTATTCTGAAATATCCTCTGCACCTGCTTAAAGAGAGAGGGACAGTTTGATAGTGATGACACTCATTAGCAAATCACTGTTTTTCTGCAACTTTGCACATCCAAAACAGTTTTCCTCAACATTTAAAATAAAATGCTTTAAACTCACTACTTTCTAAATTATTCCTACAGAACAACTCACTTATCCCCCAAAGCGAGGGCTGTGCTTGCTCCATCTCAAGAGGGGACCCAAGAACTCCCATTCCCCCTCCGTGGGCACCAAAGCCGAGCATGCAGGTCACAAGCTCAGCCTGGGGCCGCCATCGCCACCACAGCGACACGTGCTGCCACGCTTC